AAAAGTGTTTGTGCAAAATATGTAAACACAACCTGCTGAGTCCATATTTGTTTTTTGTATATATATATGTATATATATATAGTTTCAAGGCAGACCCCTTTGTGTGGAGAAACCAATAAGGGGCCTTATACTTCCTTGGGAGAGGTTAATTATTCTCCCAGCAGTCATGCCTGAGGATTTTTGTTGGGGGGGGGGGAACCTGTGTGAAATTTTTCCCCTTTCATGTTAATGTATCTTGATATTACCATTGTTCCAGTCCTGTGTATACAGTCATTTTAGAACAACTGTTTTACTGCAGACTTCCTGGTATTCTGGCTCTTAAAATTTTTCCACCCTCTTCTGTGACGTTCCCTTAGCCATAAATACATTGTGTCTGGGCTTCCCACAGTGAGTTGTATCTGCATTGTGCCAGTTCTGTTCAGTTATCATTTTCTTCCATTTGCTGTAAAAAGAGGCTTCTTGGATAAGGGGTAGTGTGCTGAGTGGTTTTGTGGGTCATCTTGACACAAGCTGGTCATCAGAGAAGGAACGCTATGCCTCCTTGAGATCAGCCATAAGGCATTTTCTCATTTAGTGATCAATGGGGGAGTGCCCAGCCCAGCCCATGTTGGGTGGTGCCATCACTGACCTGCTGGTCCTGGGTTCTATAAGAAGGTAGGCTGAGCAGCCATGGGATGTTAGTCCATAAGTGCCAGGTTCTCTGACAGAAAGAGTGGGCAGAGGGTGGGGGTGACAGACCTGCCAGACTTTCCCTGGGGCTGAGCAGAATGTTGAGTGTCAATAACCCAGACCTCCCCCTGGCCACCACCTGAGAGAAACACACACACCGAGTTGGGGGGTCTGTGAAAGCAGGGTCTCGTTTCTTTTTATTAGGCAGGGACTTACATAGGTTGTGATAGGGGGTGGGAATCTTGGGATGAGGCGAGGTGGAGTAAGGAATAAGGGCCAATAATATTCTGCCACATTAGCAGGGACTGGGCAGAGACGGGTTTAGTTCATGCTGTGCTGAGTCACTCATATGCAGAAGTCATGGCTGAAGACTGGTCTCCAAACTCAAGCTAGGCATAGGAAGTTACACTGGGCCTCATGCCTAGGCCTTATGAGGCCCAACAAATAAGCAGCTCCCCTCCATGGCCTCTGCATCAGCTCATACCTTGGGGATCCTGCCCTGTTTGAATTCCTGTCCTGAATTCCTCCATGATGAACAGCAATGATGAAGTGTTATTCAGATAAGCCCTTTTCTCCCCAACTTGCGTTTTGGTCGTGGTCATTTGTCACAGCAATAGTACCCTAAGACAAGTGGTAACTACACTTATCTAGGAAAGGTGGCTCAGGCACCAAGAGGTCTTGCAGGCCATGGAAGGGTCTGTAATCATTTTTTAAATATCCAGTTCTTTGAGAAGTAAAATATCAGCAGAAGGCACTGTTTTTCCCTTTGTATCCAAGTTTGAACTTTGTTTAAGGATTTGGCTTTCATTCTTTTCTCAAGTATTTAATAGATGCAGTATTCTAAAAGTGGCATAGGGTATAGGAATTAATAAGATATAAGCTGTGCTTTCATGTTTATGATCTACTAACAATGGTAGGACAGATACTAAATACACATATCATAAGATGAAGAAGAATCAGTGCCAGAAGAAGTTATAAATGATGCAAAAATATTTTCAAAGTTGGAGAGCTTTCTCATGGGTAGTAGATGCCTACACTGTAACTTACGAGAGAGAGACAGAGAGAGAGAGAGAGAGAGAGAGAGAGAGAGAGAGAGAGAAAGGAAGAAGAAGAAGAAGAAGAAGAAGAAGAAGAAGAAGAAGAAGAAGAAGAAGAAGAAGAAGACGAAGAAGAAGAAGAAC